ACTTGAAACAGAACACCTGGGGAAAAAAAAAAAAGTCCAAAGAGTGCTATGGGACAAGTGCCACACAGGAAATGCTGGGAACCATGAGCTCCATGTTACTTCATTTGCGTCATATTGAATTTAGGACAACAGAACTGTATGTATATTATTCATAAATAAACATGATTGCGCCAAAGAGATAACTGACTTACAATTGTTTTCCCATCTATGTGACCCTTTTTTTTTTTTAGCTTACTGGTTGGGTCCAAAGGATATCCATAATTTGGATGGTTTGGGAAATCTAGTTCAACAGTGTGAAACCAGCAAATCCCCATAAAGGGGAGATTCATGAATAGAGTTTTGCCTTTTTTTCCCCCCCTCCCTTTTCCTCTCTCCACCTGATAGTAGAGTGACTTAATACCGAGTATCTGGGCTACCATTAAGGGACTTGGAGAAAACAGATTAACAGGTAAGAAATGAGCTATGTTAATGGAATATGCATTATAAAAAGGCAAAGTGGTCCTTTTAGTCGAAGTCTAAGAAAGGAGGTTATATTGTTTTCATTTGCTATGTCTACATATAATCTATAGGAAAATAAAAATTTACTAATTGTTTTTACATCTTTTTTTTACAATAATTGTGGGCTTGCTAAGGTATGAAAGTGACCTAATAGTTACAGTTGTGACCTCTAAGTTATTATTAATTTTACTGTCAGTATGTGTTTCACATCTCCTACTTAATGGTATGCTAATTGTACAGCAGGATGTCACATTCTCCAACATACAGATTCCCTATTTCAATTACAGCTAAGTAAATCTCCATTACTAATGAGTAAGCATTTCTTTTCCACGTACATTAGCATTATAATGGACATGTTCTTTATGCACTAGAATTATTCTTTCCTTGACAACAACTATATATTTTATTCTACAGTAAAGGCTACGACATCATGATTCATTCCTTTCTGTTGGGTTTATCTGTATTTAAATTGTCAAATGTTCTGGATAGCCTGACATTTTCTGTCCCATGTTATTTTTCTGTACTTCCAGAATAAATTTATGTATTTGCTTTAAGACAGCCTACTTAAGACAAATCTCAAAAAAGTAAGCTTACGTGTCGGTCATATATTAAGCCATATTTTCAAAATTGTTGCATTGTTTCATTCATGTTGCTGAGAAATCTCAACTATTTATGTCAGTGCAAAGTGACCTTTATGATACAATGTTTGACTGATTTGAATATCAAGAACGAGTCACCACAAGTGACCCATATCACTGCAAGATCCCACTCTGCTTAACAGAGCGTAGCTCTTTGGCTACTAAATACAATCCCCCAAACAGACATTTGCTGCCCTGCTGATCCATATATCTACAAATGCAGCGGGCAGCTGAGTAAAACGAAGGGGGAAGGCCGCCTGTTACATCTGAGCTATGCAACTTTGCTGCCAAATCCGCTCCCTCTTGGGGGTTGTGGCCAGTCACTGGGTGCCGCTGAACTGCTGAACTTGGGCAGCCGGGCACTGCCGGCGGAGGGTTCCCGTCGTCTGCCAGCGCGGTGACCCACGAGGCTTTCCCTGCCGTGCGTCAGGAAACAAGGATATTGGCAAATCGAGTCCCTGAGGCGGATATCCTTCCTTCATTCCGCATGGCCCCGGGAAAATGTATCACCTTTTACACACAAATAAGGACTGTGAGTTTTATTGATAAAGTGATAGCTTAATCTTTGATAATATGCAGCAAAGAAGGCGTGGCTTTGATTTTGGTGAGGCCACTGCCTATGCAGTAAATTACGTTGCAGGGATCTTCTTTAAAGATGCCCAGAGGAGGTTTATGTATCAAAGAGAGTGCATTAATTAACAATCATTAATATTCTTGATGATTTTTAAGTTGGCCTGGTGGTGGGTGTTTATGTGGGGAAGAAGATGGGTGCTGGGTTCTTTTAATGATATAAGTACACGGGATATTTTACAGAAACAAAATGTGGTGAAAGCGTTAGGTAGCATTCCAGAAATGCAGGAGGAAATGTATGCAACCAGATGTTAGAAGTAACAGATTGATTTCCTGGTCACTGTGCATGAATTCTTTCTAGCCTTGTGTATATCCTGATAATCGGATGGCTTACAGTATAGATACAAAGTTTGTTTTGTTTTTATTTTGAAAGGCCTACGGTATGCAGCCTTTTTCCCAGACAGCAGCAAAAAACAAGGTGAACAATTTTTGCACTATGTGGTTTTGAATTCTGTCATATTTTCTATTACGTTTCTGTCTTCCATTAGGATAGCTTAGTTTACTATATTAACCACCGCCATCATCCATATCACTTCCAATTCTGAGTTTAGTCTACATTATGTATGTATGTAGTTTGATGGTTTTTCCTCTCCCGGGGGCTGGCAGTGGTTGCTCACATGTCACAGCTCCAGACCTTGTTGCAATGGTTGCCCTTCTCTCGGTCCGTTCCGGAGTGGCTGCTGACACCTGGTGGCGTGCGCTGCCAGTGCAGGCTTAGCCGGGTGTGCAGCTGCGGCCAAGTCGGACCGCTCCTACCCCGAGCCTGCCACTCAGAGTTTGGGCGATTTAAACGAATCTGATCTCCTGCATGACAAAAATGTGTCGGGAGCACGTTCGCCTCCCGTTCAAACTTACGTAAACAAGAGAAGCGATAACATTTCCTTGCCGTTGGAGCAAAATTAATGCCTCTGACCTTGCTACTGAGGTCGATAGTGTAGCTGTTCGCAAGGGCTATGTACCTTTTTTATTTTCTTTGATAACTTTTCAAATATGTTGCAGAAATAAATGTTTTATATATACTTATGCACTAAATATACTGCATTAAACAAATCTTTTCTGTGAAAAACCTGGGTGATTATATTTAGAAATAATGATGTTTTCAAAACTTTACAGTGTGAATACCAAAGGAAGCTTCTTCTGGTGTTTTATTTAATGTCATGGTTTCTGGCTTGAGTGTATGATTTTTCTTGCCAGCAAGTATATTTCCGTATGTTTATGAAATTCCACCTCTCTTTGCCAGCATATTTCCTAACAATGGAATATCTGGGATATACCAATAAGTAACTGGTATGAATAAAAATTGAGAATCCTGGAATCCTGATTCTGTGGTGAAATTCCTCCGTAGCCAGGACCTATTGAGGTCTTCTCAGTTTCATTTTTATCTGGATAGATCTTTAATCAAAACTGATTCTTTTTCTTGCTTAATTGGCCCTTTACTGCCATCTGATTTTTTTTTTTAGTTTCATAAAGAAGATAAGTATTACACTTAATATGAAAGAAATGTAAAACAATACTTTATCCTGATTTTTCTCAGTCTACAGGCAAATCAATTACATTGACAATGCAGTATCTTTAGTTGTTTCTAAAATATCATAAAGAAAGGGCTCCCAAAGTGCACTGCCGCTGGACTTTGTGGAAGGGGAAGGATTTGGTGAAACGAGAATGTGTTCTTTATAGCCAAATTTGGTGGTATTATTATGCCATTCTGAGATACACAGAGTTGGCAAGTAAAATTAAATGAGGAGAAATGATAGAAGAGTCAAGTTACACTGTTAATCTGAAACAACAAAGGAGGGCAAAGTTCTGAATTCAAAAATCATTGGTTAAGGGTTTGTTGGGTTTTTTTCCCTAAATTTACTGCCCCTGCAGTCCAACATTCATGGTATATAAACTTCAGTGTAGGCAGTCGGGGTTGAGGCTGTCCCTAAATCTCTTATATTCACGGGGGGCTCTGGTCAGGTGAATTATGTACACAACACAGCTGCTCTTGAGCATAAGGGACTGGAAGTGTCACTTCTGTGTAGCACTTCTTACGCTGCTCCGTTGGAGGAGACCTCTCACACAAGGACTTAAATGATCATAGTTCCCAGGTGCGGGAAAATGAGAATCGGACAAATGCCAGTTCTGGCAGTTGGTGGGAATTGCTAACTCCACCTTTACAACATGACGTTAAAAATAGCTTGATCAGATTTTTATCAAGACAATTTATTGAAGAATAGGAGTAATTTTTTCAGAGATCTGAACCCACTGAAAAGTGACATTTGACATGAAAAGGCATTGGGAGTTTTATCTGATACATGACAGCTATTTTGTCTTCTAAGTGTAGG